TAGATTTTTTGGGGTATATTACCGAGAATGTCATTACCTCCCTTCCCTTAGGTATTGTAATATTACCGATGTTTTGGACTAAAATGCCCTTAATTTTTTTTTTTTTCAAAAATATCATTCTTCTGTCATTGAATAATAAAAATTCTACAAATGTTAAATTATAAATTTATCCTTAAATTATTTTAGATTTACAAAAAAAAATCTATAATTAAAATTTTATATGAAGTTTAGGGGTTAATTTTTTTTACCCTTTCATTAAACATTTTTTATATTTTTAATTTTGTAAAAAAATTATATAAATATTATGAATTTAATTTTTTAAAGAAAATATATAAACATTTTACAATTTGTAATATTATACAAATATATAATAAGGACAATTTGGTTAAATATACATTTCAATAATCTTTTATTTCTTTAACCAAACACGATAGTCTTACATTTCTGCTAAACCAACCAAACACAAAATACAACATTCCAAGTAATCCTATTCCCTGGTAATCTTTTATTCCCACTGATAATCTTACATTCTGTGAACCAAACGCACCCTAAAAGACTTTAGAAGTGTACAGTGTCTCAGATCAGAGATATACAATCAATCTATTTTTACATGGCTTGTGTCCTTCTAAAATATTTACATTTAGCTTGAAGATGTCGTGCATTCTTAAAGTCTTGTCCATTGGCCTTGCTTGCTAAAACAAAAGGAACCCAGAAAAAAATTAAGGGAAGTTTATCAAAGGAAGCTATGAAAAGGGTGAGAGCATTAAAGGGTTATATAAAAATTGAAATGTGAAATGGAGAAGGGAATGTAGGAAGGAAGACGAAGGCTGCAGAAAGGTAATTAATGAAGATAAGAGAACAACTGGAAACAAAAAGATAATAATGTGAACGTATGACTGGTGTTGGACGGAAGCTGTTGGACGGAAGATCTGGGTTTTGCCTTTTATTTTTTTATTCTTTTCATTTGAATTTTCCTCTTTTTCAAATTTAATTCTTTTTACTTTTTTTTTATGAGGAGAGGATAGTTTTAGAGAATATCCCAGTTCATTTACTGCAAGATTTAATATTATTCATTGTAAAAAGATTAATATTATTATTTTAAAAATATTAAATAATGTAGTTAATATTATTTATGATGTAAAATACTATTAGATTATTAAGATAAATTATATGTTTAGTATCTAAATTATCTGTTTTGATATATTTTAGTATTTAAATATTTAATTTTTTTCAAAATCATACTTAAATTTTAGTTTTGGTTTCATTTTAGTACTCGCCGTTAAAAATTTTAGTTTTTATTTCATTTTAGTACCTGTTCAAAATTTAACGTTAAGTTTTGAAAAAAATAAAAGTTTAGGTACTAAAATGGACCAAAAATGATAGTTTAGGTATTAAACGTGTTAAGTTTTTAATTATGAGTACTAAAATGAAATGAAAACTAACGTTAGGTATAATTTTTAAAAAAATAAAAAATAAAGTACTAAGATAGATCAAAACAAATAATTTAAGCACTAAATACGTAATTTATCTAATTATTTATATTAATGTAAATTAATTCTTTTTTTAATATGTCAAGAAAAAAATGTTCACTCAATATTCAGTTTAATAAGAACATAAAATGTGCGATGAATAATATAAAATAAATTATATTATTCAAGAAAATGAATTTCATTAATTAATTTACTTTACATTAATTAAACATTAAAAAAGAAACATTTTTTTGTAAAATAAAATATAGGAAATAAATAAACTTTTATATCATTTTGAAAAATTAAACTTGACATATTATTTAGAGATCTTAGAATCTATTTATTTTTTTATGATAATTCAATTATTTATACGTTACATTTGCAATAACAAGTTTTATAGTTTTGAGTCCGTTATCTCGATCATGATTTTCCTACTCTCAGAGAGGGAAAGGTCTTTTCCTTTTGGGCCGATTGTGGGAAAGTAAACTTTAATTGTGTTGTGGTATGAACTATTATCTTAAAAGTAAATCTGTCTTAATTGGTGTAATCATTGAAATAGACATAATCCCTCATAATTAGCATAATCATTCAATATTTATACACGGAAATATTAAGATAAAAATCAAATGAGATTGTTCGTTTCACAAATATAGAATAGATGTAAGAAATATTTTATCCCAGTTATAATTCGATGAACAAAAAATGATTCTTCAAAAAAGAAGTAAGTTTGTTGTAAAGGATAAGGAGAAGTAAGAGAGATATTATTTTAATGACTTTTAATCTTAATTTTAAAAAATAAAATTATAATTTTAAATTTATAATCTTAAATTTTTGAATCCGCCGAATATTATTTCGTGCCCCAAAAGTTGCCATAGCTAAAACTGCAGGCTGCAGCAACCATCAATCCTCGCCTCGTAAAGATCACAAAATTTGGATTATTTTCCGAACCGACAAAGAAAACCTTAACTTACAGTCCCTACATGTTGAGGCGTTACTATTTGATGGATATTCAACGCTTTATTCATTAACTGATTATGAATATGCCTTTTTAATTTTCTTTTTTTTTTCTGCGTTTTTATCTAAAATATAAATTCTTTTATTTATTTATTTTTATTATTATTAGGGTAAATTATGTATTTAATATATGAACTATCAGTTTTAATTTAGTTTAATAACTAAACTTGTAATTTTTTTAAAATCATATCTAAAATCATCTTCACTTTTGAAAGAAACATTTGTTCAAGTAGATCCTTGCTATTGGTTTGGTACAACACAAATGGATTCTTAAACTCGTAATTTCTTTTTCTTTTTATTTAGTTTAACTTGGATTTTTTTGTTCCTTCTTGCTTGTTATTCACTTCGTTTTTTTTTTTATTTTAGAGTGATTTCTTTCATCCTCTTTCTATGATAACACACTCAATATTTTGCAAGTTTTTTTAAAAAAAAAAAAAACTTTCACTGATGTTTTAAATGTCTTTCGCAAGCGTGCTTGGTGCTTCGGCTACCGAGGAGAATGTGTTTTCCGTCGAGAACTCATCTTGCCGTACTCCGATCAAGCATTGGCTGCAACTGTTTTCTCTCCAACCCCTAAATCTTCCGTTCTAAATCAATTTCACAGCAGCAAGGCATGCTGCCGTCTTCTCTATCTGGTAGGATGTCACCAATACCACTTCAACGCGAGAAGCAGAAACAATTCCACAGCCTAAGCTCGAGGGAGCTTGGCTCCGCCTCTGCTGCCGATTAATTTTTGGTGGTGACGGAATAAAGGAGTTCATTGTTCACCATTTACAGAAACTGAAAATAGAACTAATTAACGGCGTGATAGATAAAAAAAAGTTGCAGATTAAAAACGTTACCTACAAATTTATAAATTGAAACTGAAAAAATTATCAGTTGGAGTAACGGTAAATGTGATACAATGTAATAAAATGAGTTATAAACGGTAAATGTTATGTATATTATTAATATTTTAAGTTGCGCTTAAAATGTTATTTGAGTTTAAGCTAATGGAGCATTATAATTTTCCACGATAAAATATAAATTAAAAGCTAAAAATATTATGAATATATATAAAAAAATATAATTCTAGTTAATTGTGTCATGGTTCACTAAGAAACAAGTTGTGATTTGTAATGTTAATATTTTTATTAATAAAATAGGTTGTGTCCAAGAATATTATGGTTCACTAAGAAATTAGGTTGCAATCTGTAATGTAATATTAATGTATTTTAATAAAGTAGGTTGTGCTAAAAAAATATCATAATTCACTAAGAAATAGGTTGTGATAATACTTTTATTAATAAAACAAGTTATGCAAAAAAAATTCAAAAATTAAAATATTGATACTTAATATTTATAACCAATACTTGTAAATATTAAAAAAGTCGAAGATAAGATCAAAATTTAAAATATCGATACTTAAGAAGTAATGATTGATGCTTTTAAAAATTCAAAAACTTGATAAAAAGATCAAAATATAAAATATCAATACTTTGCAGTCTTCTCATTTTCATATTTTTCTTTAAATTCGAAAGTATCGATATTTTTTTGAAATTTTTTATAATAGAAAAAGTAACATTTAAAATTGCGACTTGCTTTTTTAGTGAATCATAATATTCTTTTGTGCAAACTATTTTATTAATACAAATATTAACATTCTTTATCGCAATCTATTTCTTAGTGAACCATAATATTTTTGGGCTCAACCCATTTTATTAATAAAAATATTAACATTCCAATTTACAACCTATTTCTTAGTAAACAGTGACATTTTTTTGTGCAACTCATTTTATTAATAAAAATATTAACATTTTAGATCGTAACCCATTTCTTAGTGAACCATGATATTCTTGGGTGCACCTCACTTTATTAATAAAAATATTAACATTTCAGATCAAAACATATTTATTAGTGAATCATGACATTCTTGAGCGTAACATATTTTATTAATAAAAAAATTAACATTTCAGATTGTAACCTATTTTTAGTGAACCATGACATTTTTAGGCGTGCCTGTATTTCTTATATATATTCATAATATTTTCAGTTTTTAACTTGTTATCTTATCATAGTAATGTAAGGTCATAACAACTTAAACTTTGGTAACGTTTTAGGCGCAACTTAAAATGTTAATAATATTCATAACATTTATTGTTTATAACTTAATTTTTTACTGTTTATAACATTTTATGTATAATCTATTATGTTACTGCAATGATAACTTTTCTTGTTTCTCTTTTAACCAATAAGATAAGTTTATCAGTTATACCATTTTAAGTTATTTTAAAATAATTATAACGTAATATATTACAAATAAATTAACATTTTCAGTCTTGTTAAACCAATTTTGTTAAGAAATTTTATAAAATTTTGATTATACCGTATTTTAGCCTTATATTAATTTGTCGTTCTTTAAATTCTCATTAATAATTTATTTTTGATTAATAAATATTAAATGATGGATTTATTATAAAATGATAAGGATAATTACCATTCTATTATTTTAACTCCCAAAAAAAAGGGCTGCCACTATAAAATTGATTGTTCCCTCCCGTTTTTATTTCTGTATTGCTTAAAGGAATTTCAAGCGTTTCTTGAAGGTTCTTAGCTTTGTATTCATAAGAAACCTGATTTTTACGAACGCATATCCGATAGGAGTAGGACCTCTTGATTCGTTTTATTTTTCAAGAATAAAGAAATGGCTAATTTATTGTGTTTTTGTTTCGTATTCCCCCCTTCTTTTTCGATTTTTGATCAAGTAATTTTATTTTTTTGACCCCCTACTTTCTAGTTTTTAACATTCTTAGTTCAAGGGACCAGGATTTTTAAGAACAAAAAGTTTGTGGGTTTGGCTTTTCCGGTCGTCCTTTCAGTTGGTTTTTGAATGCTCTATTTTTAGGGTTACCCAACTTTTTTCTTTTCTTTTAAAGTTTCTTAGCGACTAGGGTTTTTCTTAAATGGGTTTAGCTTTGATATTTCGGTCTTTTTAGTTCATTTATCCACGGAGAAAAACTATTACTCTAGCACTAGGTTGTTGAAAGATCTTTCATGAAATCTTGAGATTTTTTTTCCTCTGCAATTAGTTTTAGATTTGTTTAGTTGGTTACTAAATTTATGTTCCGTTTCTTGTTGTGTTTCATTGCTCATGAGATTGCAAGATTAGTCTAATGTAGCTAAAAAAAACGATTTTCTTGCGCTTGAATGATGTTATATTTAAGTTTTTTTTTTTGTTTTATTGTTTGTTATATGTAGACTTTTATTTCTTGAAAGGCTTCAAACTTATGAAACTCTTGTGTTCGTAACATGTAGATCAAGTGATTAACTCTTTAACTAGAGCGTTCTCATGGACCGACTAGGTCCGATCTCTGGCCATAGTTCTTCTGGTCCTCCGGTTTTATGGCAGTGGATCATTGAGTATTTATCAAGCTTCCCCGAGATAGATACTTCCATTATAACCAGTATGGACAAATACGTATCACTTGGTGTTTGTTATCATTATTATTTTGGGTGTTTTAACTATTCTCTGTTCTATCAGGTCTGATTGAAACATCTCCTGTAGCACCAGAGAATTTCAATGAAAATACGAATGAGAGGGTTGCTTTAAAATGTTTGGAGGAGTTATTTGGTCCTGAAAACAGTCATGGAAATGTCGTTCCTCCTGTTTCAAGAGCCACTTTTCCTCCTTCGCTGAGCTGTGATGCTGTTCTTAACCAAATTATGGAGGAGGTAAAGTATAAACATACATTCTACTTTCGGCATTGCTCTATAAATTTATGTTGTTTCGATAGAAAAACCTTTTTTGACTCTTCATAAAATCTTGCTAGTTGAAGTGCCTGCATTGTCAATTATAAGCATATCTTTCTTTATCAGGTTCCATTTCAAAATCTAAAAAGAGCCGCACCCGAGCTTTCAAGATGGGATGGCCACTCCTTTATTAAGCATAAAAGAGACACCCTACCTCAATGTTCATTAGAAAAGGTAAAATTGGATTTTTCTCCTGCTGCAAAGATGTGATAATTGGCATTAGGCTTCAATCCTTTTGCATTTTTTGCAACCACGTTTTATCTGTATATTGTTTCTTATTGACCCTTTTTTGGAACAGTTGAAAGATTCTATTTTGGAGGACGATCCTGTTACTGGTTGTGATGAAAATGGCCCTCCTTCATGGTCTGATGATGATGATAAAAACGGTAACCAAGAGGGTAACTTGATTCCTCAAATTAATGAAAACTATAATGAATTGTTGCTTGGAAAAGATTTATTACCCTCTAAGAGGTGTAGAGATGACTTGGTTGCTGGAAATCCAATGGGAGTTGTCAGTATTAACCATGGTAGTCTGCATAATTATCTTCAATTAAATGCTAAAAAGTCCAAGCAGGATGCTACTCCCTCTTGTACTATTCAGTCTGTTGAAGAGCTTCCAGTTCACTTGCATGCTGATTCTGAAGAGTTGGAAGATGAATCTCAAAGGATCATGAAAGTTACTGAAATAGAAGCTAATAACTTGGGGAAAGATTCTCAGATAGGTGTGGGTGATAAAGATTTATGGGTTGCCTCAAGGACCCATGGGCCAATTGATGCTGTTGGTCGTGTAGAACTGCTGGACAATCAGATGGAAAACGTTCAAAATGATGATGCTTATGTGATGATTGAGCACAAGTATGGAGATATAACTTGCCAAAATGTTGCGACTGATGAATCCAATCTCGTTGAAAATGGTGCACTGCAAAAGGGTCCTGGTGGTGATGTGGGTGTAGATATTGATCAAGATTTTACATTAAGTACCCCAAATTCAATCTCTGCTGATGGATTGCAAAAAAATATTGATAATAATCTGGAAAAAGCTGACATTGTTCATCCTTGTCCGGAAGAAATATTTGAATTTGAAGATGAGATCCTTAATAATGCCTTGAAAAAGAACCATTTCTTGAGTTCACATCGCATACCAAGTCAAGATCCGGTACAAAAAGTTGGCTGGACAGAACAGAGGTCTTGTGTCAAGTGTAACCAAAATGGTAACGTTTTGGTGTGCAGTGGTAGTCGTTGTCCACTTGTGGTTCATGAGAGTTGCTTGAATTATGCTGCAAGATTTGATGATAAGGGCAACTTTCTTTGCCCTTTTTGTGTATATTCTGTTTCCATCTCAAAGTACCTAAAAGCTAAGGACAAGATCATCTTGGCAAGGAAGAACCTAGTTGCATTTATGGGGATTATAGGAAAACTTGCTCAGGAACGAAGGAGGTTTCAGAGTCATTCAACATTAAATGGCAATGAAGGCCTTGTAGGAATTCGAGAGAGTGAACATCTAGGGAGAGAGCGTGAACACCAACACCAGTCCAAGCTTAAATCCTGTGATGATCATCCAACCACTGAAAACACTGAAACTGACCCTGTAAATCAGGTAGAAGTTGAAAGAGATGACATTTTAAAGGAAGCTGTAAAGCCTGAGACAACAGATGTGCGTCAGGAGCTTGTCAATAGTGATGGAGAGGGGTCATGTATCGGTGCAGATGACAAGTTTATAATATCTAGCAACACTAAAGAAAGTCAGACAAAGTTGTAAGTTCTCTTTGCATAAATTGATATTCTTGTTTCCTGTACATCGCTTTTAAAATTTTAACATGCTCTTGTCGATGGTTTTATTATATCATGTGAAAGAGGAAATGAGTTGGCTTTTGATTTTATTGAGAATTAAATCTTAACTAGTTTGTTATTTGTAGCTTATTCCCTACAACCCGACAATCGAAGAGAAAGATAATTCCATGGACAAATGCTGAAGAAGGGATGCTCAGGGTAATTACTTCCTATCGTTGATTACTTATAGTAGGTATAAAGAGTTGATAGCTTTGAAAAGTCCACAACCTTGCTTAGCGGTGTTAAGAAATTCTGGGATCAGGGGTGTACTTCCTGAAATGTTAATTGAGCAAGAATGTGGCTTGTAATACACGACTCATGACTTATTGTAAGATTTGAATTTGGCTATTATATACTTGCAGAAGGGAGTAGAGGAGTTTACAAAGGGTGATGGAACAATTCCATGGAAGAGAATTTTGGAGTTTGGTTCCAAAGTGTTTCCCAGGGATAAAACTGCAAGAGACCTTAAGAATAAGTGGAACAGCATGCGCAAGGGTAGTATGAAACTGCAACAAATGATATGATGTCGCAGCGCAGTGATTTCGCATGAAATATGATGTCATTTTGAATTCTCAGTTTAGCCAAGGGAGTTAGGTACCTCAGTTGTTATCAAATAGTGTATTAAGGGTAATTAGGAAGTTGGGAGTGGCAGGTTTGATGTCCCTGAAATGAAATGTTTTGTTTGTTTGGGAAGCGAATGATGTTTTGTGTAAAATACCCATCTATATTACTGGGGTATCTCAAACAGTAATATACTTCGCCTTTGATGGTTTAATCCTCTTGCTATTCCCTTTCTTTTTATAGATTAAAATGTTTGATCAGTGTTTTCCCCTTGCATTTGGTTATCTGGAAATGTTCAGAATGGGATTTGGAGGCTAAATGCTTTAATTCCAAGTGTTACATGGTTTTCCCGTGTTTAATCAATTTTGTATACAAATTCAATTTCGGTCATTCTAAACTTGTTTCTAGTAAAAACTTAAAATTTTTTCTGGTATTCTTGTCTGCTGGGGGGTTTTGGTTTAAATTTGATTGTTTGGGTTAATGTTGGAAGTGAGATATTTATCATTTGTTTTGGAAAATCACAATTGAAAATTTCAGGTGAAGGGTGTTTTCATTCATTGGAAGCCGACATGACTAAGCTCTACTTGTCTCAAAATGCACTTCTTCGGTGTCTCATAAAACCCATCACTGAAAAGAAATAAAAACATAAAAAAAAACACTCCAGTTTTACTACCTTTGATAATAACTAGATTAAGATTAATGACGCGTCTGGTAAAAATGGATACTTTTAAAAATAAGTTGTAATTATTCGTTAAGATTTCACATCATATATATATATATATATTGATAACACACACATATATATATTAATTTAAAACTTCTAAATAGTTTAACATTGGATGATCCACATACACGTTCAATCGACACAAATCAAGTGTTTTGAATTTGAGTTTGTGTAGAACTGACCAACATAGTGTTCTGCTTCTTCTTGCATGGGATAAACTGCAAAGAAAACCATAAGTTGTGCAAAAGACATTTCAAACACAACTTATGATGATATCAAGCAGATTGGACATTCATTTCTTACAGAGATCGAAATCCCCCATTCCAAATATTTGTTATGTTGTTACAGCACATTCATGTATTTACCTAATTTTGGTCCCAAAAATTGCCCCACCGTTTCAAATTCTTTCCAGCGCACTACAAGTATTGTTCTGCCTGCTTGCAGGAAATATAAAATCAACTAGCAATAGCACAAGTACGAAAAATGGTCAATTATTTGTATATGAGAGCATCACGACCAGGTCCGATGCCGATGTAATGGATAGGCACACCAACAAGTTCCTCTATCCTCTCAACATATTGCCGTGCGGCTTTTGGAAGATCTGAATAGTTTCTGATAGAAGAAATATCAGACTGCCATCCAGGCAAAACTTCGTATTCAACCTAAACACAGAGGAAAGGAAAGGAAATGAATTACACAGTGCCTCCGTAACAGTTACATAAGTATCAAACATGTCCGCGTACTACTAATTGCTAATGCATCAAACACTCAACGTTAGGCCTTCTGAGCATCGTGCAACATATATTGTCATGTTCATTAGTAGTGCTACCTCTATCACATGCAAAACGATCAAAATTGCATGAAATAAGGGAAAGCTCAAAGCAGAATGAGAAATCAACACATGTTTTCTTTGCAGCTCGAGTGGCATATCATGTGATTCTTCTTTGATTGCTACGTTTTCTAATTCACAATTTCATATTAAGATCCCCCTTTCCCTAAATCCATGCTTTGAGGGTTGAAATGAAAGAACAATTTAGTTAGTTGAACATCATTTTAAGCTATCTATATCAAACACATCTGAGACAACAAAGTCTGACAGGGTCACAGGTTCTTTAAAAACTAGCAGATTAACATAGGTAACAGTGGTTTACTTGCTTGAACTAAACATCATAGATCCAACCAGAGTTAAGTCCCAGGACAACTTGTTCGACCATCAGGCCACCCCAGTTCCGAAAAGCATGTTTGTAAAAGTGAAAATAAATTTTCATATATAGATAAGTAATATATCTAACGAGTGTTAGTTAAAAGTTCACCAACCTTCAACTGCTCAAGAAGCTGAAGATCAGCTGGGAATGATTGCACTGGTGTACCATCAGCTTGTTTATAAGCAACACCCAATTTGATTTCAGGAAGATCAGACAAAACATCCAATTTGGTGAGATTTAGAGAAGAAAAGCCATTAATTTGACAACAGAACTTAAGAGAAACTATATCAAGCCAACCACAACGACGAGGGCGGCCAGTTGTGGTGCCAAATTCCTGCCCTGCAAACCTGAGGATATCTCCGCCTTGACCCAGGATTTCGGTTGGGAAAGGACCAGAACCAACTCTTGTGGTATATGCTTTCACCTGCACATTGTGTTTAACAAAGGAAAGTGGTTGAAATTCTAAACCTATTTTGAGCATTAAAACCAAAAACTTCTTTTGAACCATTAGATTTTGTCTGCCTGTACTTTGTACCACAACCACACAACAAATCAATTCTATGACCAAAAATAAAAACACCAAGAAAAATAATCAAAAAGAATATTCACTTACAACTCCAATTAGATCACCCACAACTCTAGGAGCAATACCAAGCCCAGTGCAGATTCCACCAGCTGATGGGCTTGACGAAGTTACAAAGGGATAAGTACCAAAATCAATGTCGAGCATGGTAGCCTGGCCACCTTCCACCAATATCTTCTTCTTTAGTGCAATTGATTCATTCATCACTTGCACAGTATCAGCAATGAAAGGCTCCAACCTCTCAGCATATCTCTTGTAATTTTCAACCTCTTCCCTGAGCATTTCTTGGGTGTAGTTAAAATCTGGAAACCTTGAATTCGCATCAGACAATAAATTATGAAGCTTCTGGGGGAAGGTATCCATGTGCCTCAAGTCACTTACTCTAATGCCATTCCTGTTCATCTTGCTAGCGTAACAAGGCCCAATCCCTCTTCTAGTTGTGCCAATAAATGACTTGTTAAGCTCAGCTTCCCTTAAACCATCAACTACTTGATGAAAATCAAATAGCAGATGAGCACGATCGGATACCAAGATCCTTCCTTTGCAGTTAACCCCATTAACTTCCAACCCATCAATTTCTTTAAATAGACCAGGCAAATGTACCACTACTCCATTTCCAATCACACACAGAGTCTCCTCGTTAAGGATGCCAGAAGGAACAAGGTGAAGGGAAAACTTCTTCCCCACTGAATTGTAGATTGTATGTCCAGCGTTAGCTCCACCCTGAAATCAGGAAGAAAAGAAGTCCAACACTAAGAGATCGAAGATTGTAGAGATCGAATTTTAACCTCATTTTTAAGCTGTTCTCTAAGTATCAAATTTCATACAATAACAAAGAGAGTTGCCCTTTTTTCCTTAAAAATACAAAAAATTTGGAATTTTCTAAATCAAACTAAAATATGTTAAACAAGGGCTCTGTCCCGCATCCTTTATCTTTCAACTTCCTTTCTATAATTCTTTTTCTAAAATGTAGCAGCAAAATAATAATTTATTGGTTAGAAACTAACAAAATGACTTAATTTGCACATCAATTCTGATATAACCTTTCTGTGAGTGAGAAATCATCAATATCTCCAAAACTGATTGTTTTGTAGTATCAATAAGAAAGTACCTTTTGAAAACTAAGTAATAACAAAGATAAAACAGGCATAGGAGTAGTACCTGGCAGCGAGCAACAATGTCAAAGTGCTCGGCCAAGATATCGACAAGCTTGCCTTTGCCTTCATCACCCCACTGAGATCCCAGCACGCCGGATACCTGACTCAGCGACCCGATTCGACTGACGGACTCGCTGGCGGCTGACTCGGCCACGCTCAAAGAAGAAGGGGCGGCGGGCTTCAGCGAGCAGACAACGAAGTTCCGTCGGTGGTGCTGAAAATGGAGACTGCGGCTCCGATAGCCCCATCTGGAGGTGGCGACTGGGCTGGGATCGAGTACGAGAGATGAGCAGTTCATCGTGAAATCGAGCAAAGAGAAAAGAAGAGAGCAATGTCTTTTTATCACCAAATGGATCATAAATATGGTCACCTATTTATTCTATTCTATAGTTTCCGCTTTAGACAATTAATTAGTTTGCTAAACTACATGTTTAGTACCCTAACTACTACTTTTATTCTCTTTTGGTCACTTAACTATTATTATTTTTTCAAAATCACAACTAATGTTGCATTTTAGTTTATTTTGATTATTCATCATTAAAAAATAATAGAACTAATGATGTGGTATTTTTATAAAAATTAATGATTATGTGGCGTTACCTTATTGTGATACATCAATAGTTCTATTAATTTTAATCAGTAAGTTACCAAAATAAAACTAAAATGTAACGTAACGTTAGGTATGATTTAGAAATAAAAAATTATTGGATGATCGAAACAAGACAAAAATAATAGTTAGGATACTAAATGTGTAGTTTATCCTAATTATTTTTAATTATATTTAATATTTAATTTTTTTTGTTATTTAGTTATTTATTTATATTATATCTATCGATTAATTTTATTTCTATTTTAATTATTTATTGTTAAAATTTAATAAGAATAATAATAATTTTAACTTTAACTTTAACATTTATATATTTTATTAACTAAATCTTAATATCTTTTACCAAAAATAGATTTCATAACATGAATTATGCAAAATGAATTATATTTTCAAAAAATTATTTTTTGAAATTTATTTTACGGTGTTTAGATGATATTGTATAATTCATTTTCTATTGTTTGATAATTTTTTTAAATATAAACATCAAATAAAATAAATAATATTATTTATTAAAAATATTAATAACATTTTTAGATTATTAGAATAATTTATTGAATATTGTTTATGTCAATATTATTATTAAAATATTATAACTATAATTTTATAAATAATATTAAGTTTATTATATTTTATTAAAATAAAACTATTATAATTTATATTAGTTATTTATTAAAATAAAAATAATACATTATTAATTATATTAATTACTTATTAAAATAATAATATTATTAAAATATAAAAAAATATAATATTAAACTAAGAATATTAAATTATATTTTAAAGAGTATATTTTAAATATTTAATAATATTATTTTTATGAAATTAATAATTTATTTTATATTATTAAAATAAAAGTATAATATTATATATTAATTAATTTAATTATA